TTCTTATCCCCTTCCCCTCCTCTGGGCCTGCTGCTCTCTTCCCTGCATCTTTAGCTTTTTCTCTGCATTGACTCTTGGCAACTCACTTAGGCTCAAATCTCTCATATCCTGAAACAGTGACCCCAAGAAAACCTTTTCAGATGTACATCATCTACTCTAATTCTTCCATGGCAGTTACTGCTCATTATCAGCCCGGACCTGACATTGCTTTGGGCCCCACTACACCACAGAATTTGCCTGCGTTGGTGCTCCCAATAACTTCAGTGTTGCTACCCTAGTAAATATTTTATATGCAGGACCTTACTTCACATGATCATAATTCTCCCATTTTGACAGTGATGATCACTGCCCCTCCTCGGAACACTTTCCTGGTCTTCTTTGCGTTCTTGCTAATTCTCCTTTCTTCTCAACTTCCTTGTTTCCTTTGCAGATTCTTTGTCTAGCTGGCTATTAGGTATTGGGTTTTCTCCTAGGGCCTGTACTTTTCTTACTGGATAGGGCAACTTCATCCATTCCTATCACACCAGCCACCACCAGCCTGGGGATAGCTTGAAAATTCTCTCCTTTCCCCCAGACATCTCTCCTGTGCTATGCACATCTAACCGCCTTCTGGACATCCGTACATAGGCACTCTTAAACACAAATGAAATCAGCCATTATTTTCATTTTCGCTATCTTGCTCCCTTCCAAGAAAAACACTATCTCTTATTCTAGCCACCCAGTTACTTGACACACAAAATGGAATACCATCCAGGGACTTTCTGAAGGATGTAAATTTAGGGTGGGCTCAGGCCAAGCCCAAAGGACACGGGCTGGCCTAAAGGCCCGATTCTACCCAAAGACAGCCTGTACACTAATGTTTTATCACTTCTGCACCAGTGGGATTTACCTTAAACAGTTTTAGTTAAGATATTTGAGTCAAGAATCAGCCCTACTCCTTCCCACAACTGCAGAAAGACTAGCCAGAGAGTATCATGTCTCCAGGTGTGCTTTCCCTGCCTCTGACCTCTGAATGGGAAGCAACCATTGCCTCTCTGCGGCCCAGCAGAGATACTGCAGCCCCCTTCACCAAGGCTAAAGGCTGTCCACTTGGACACTGTAACTCCTTGCCTCTTCAAGCTGGCCATCTTATAGACTCCCTTCTCTTGACACTTAATAAGAAAATAATCTGGGGGCTGGGGGTTTAGCTCAGTGGCATAAGCGCCTGCCTTGCAAGCAGGCAGTCATGAGTTCGATCCCTGGTACTGATAAAAAAGAAAAAGAAAAAGACAAAAAAAAAAAAAAAAAAAAAAAAAAAGAAAGAAAGAAAAGAAAAGAAAAGAATCTGGGTTCTCTTTATTTTGAAATTTTAAAAATTGGGAGTTGGTGATGGAGAGGACATGGTAATTTAATGACACATAGAAGCCTATGGACATACAAAAAAGTCATCAGCAATGGAACAAAATTAGTCAACAGAATGATCATCTAGAAAACTTGCAATGAGAAAGTGGGTCCAGCACTGATCCCTGGACAATGCAACACCTAAAGGCTGTAACAGAAGAGTGGGCAAAACTGGTTGCAGTCATCTCCTGGTATTTATGGGCGACTGGTTCCAGGACCCTCCACAGATACCAAAGCCTAAAGATGCTCAAGTTCTTTATATAAAATGGCATGGTATTTCCATATAACTTTCAAATGCCCTTCCATATAAATTACTCCTAAGTTACCAAATATATTGTCAATAGCTGTGACACTTCACTGGTTAGGTAATAAAGACGAGGAGAAGAAGCCCATACTTTCCCAGGTGCAATTTTTTTGCTGTATATTTTCAATTCGTAGTTTTAGCCCACAGATATGGAACCCATGAGAACAGAAAGAAGGAACAAACTCAACCATGGATCATCTTCACTTATCTTGACATCTTAGAACCACAACTAAGCAAGAAAGGAGTTTGAAGGGAATGGTCAACTGTGATAAATGCTGCTAAGAGGCTGGGTAGGACAGAATTAGACAGTACAAGTAAAGGACACAGATTCTCGGCTTTGAATGATCCGTGTAAAAGGCATCTCATGAGTAATACAGGAAGAACTGCACTTTGCAACTTCCTCTGAAAACCTGCTCCTTTTGTGGAAAACTGTTCCTCTTCCAGTCCCTCAAGCCAAATATCTCATTGTCACCTTTAACTCTTCTTTTTCAGTCCTTATCTCCAAGCCACTATCAAATCCTGTTGGCACTAACTTCAGCCTGACTGTCTCATCACACCTAAAGCCATCATACTCTGTCCTGAATCACTGCAGTAGCCTTCTAACCAATTTCCCTAATTCTACTCCTCCCTCCTTACCAGCATATTCTCAACACAGTACTCAGAGGAATTCTTCTTAAAGGTAGGCTGGCCACGACACTTTGGTCAAAGCCAGTGCAGCTTCAGACCCACACTCAGAGGAAAAGCCAAAGCCTTTATGTAGCCTGTCCCCAAAAACTAGGCTCCTACCTCTCTTTCCTGGCTCTGCAGAAGTAGATTTCTGTGTTGTGGCTTACAACCTAAGAGTACTTCTAGGAGCAGAGAGAAGCACTGACCCACAGACCTCAGCCCTACAAAACAAAGGGAACTGAATTCTTCCTACTACCTTAAAAGTTTAGAAGAAGACACTCAAGCTCCAGCTGAGACTGTATCTCTGGTAAAAACCTGATTTCAACCTGATGAGACCAAGCAGCGGGTGCCAACTCCAGACCAATAGAAACTATGAAATAATAAACAGATCTTAGCTTAAACTGCTAAATATGCGATAGTTTTTACACAGTAGTAAAGAACTGAAATGCAAGTCCTTATTCACCCCTTATACAGTCAGGAATCAGAAAGACTTATGTTTACCATGAAAATACATCACCCTAGGGTAATAAATGTTTAAATTCTAAATTATTTCAATCCATGCTGTTCATACTTCTATGCCTTTTCATGGCAGTTCCTTGAGGATTTCCTATATCAATATCAAACCCAAGTCAAGCGTTGCTTCTTGAAGGAAGGGCTTCCTTGTAGCCATCCCACCCACTCCTGAGCCCTGTTCCTACTCTTTGCTTCCACAGCAGTGATATTTGTACAGCTACAAAACACCTGCTGGGATGCATGCAATGACTTTTCTATGTCTGTGTGTCTGTAGCGGGGGCTGGTCTCAGGCTCCTGCAGAGTGTGTGCCAAACAGGAAGACACTGAGTGAATAAATGGAATCTGGGTAAACCAGGCCTTAGGTGTCCAGGGAGGACAGCTGGCGGCAGTGGAAACGCAGGTGTCAATGGAAACTCCCGGAGCCTCCACTGTGACAGTGTCAGGCCACTCCTGCACTTCCTGCAGTAAAAGGGCAGATATTTACTCTCTCAGAAAAAAAAAAAATGCCTGAAATCAATAAGTGCTTCAAATATCAGGCGGCAGCAGCTGAAATTTTAGTTTCTCCCCCAAAAAGGACAGCAGGCAGCCCTGCCTGATTTGTTCTGATTTAAGCCCTCTGTGAGATTTACATGCTTCGTAATTTAAATTATTAGTGTCAATCCACTTCCAAAATCAAATGTCAACCTAAATACACAATAATCTCACAGAATTAGTTTTTCACAACAGCTTAAAACCAGGTAACAACACAGAAATGAGTCATATAACAACAATATTCATGGTATTGACAGAACTCCAGGCACACAGCACTTTTAGGAAATACAGACTCAAGCAAAATTATGCATAGTTGGTTCACAGGGAATAGTATTTTCTGGCTATCTTCAGAAAACTCAAATTTATATTTTTCTTTAGAACCCATTTGTATGGCTAAGATTCTTTTTATATGTTCATCGTTAAATAACAAATAAGTGAACTGTAGCCTTCTGATAAAAGTTTTACAGTCACATTGCCAGAAACTTAGAAGTGTAAAACTTCAGAATAAAAATGACTTTGCTACTTTAAAACTGTTTATTACTAAACTTTTTATTCAATAAAATTGTAGTTTTAAATATTTTAAAGTGTTTGAAGGCAGGTATGGTGGCACATGCCTGTAATCCCAGTACTCAGGAGACTGAGGCAGGAAGATTGCTACAAGTTCAAGGCCAGCCTGGGCTCTGTAGTGAGTTCAAGACCAGTCTGAACTGCATAGCAAGAAAAAAAGAAAAAAATAAAAAGGAAAAATATTGACTACAGTTAAATTCTTAGTATCAATACGTCTTTTGGCTCTCTCTTGGGTGTCCTGACTCATCCTAGGAACCAAGTCAAATTCTGTGGTACCAGTTTGAGGACCTTTCATAAGTACTGGCTGGCAATGGCTCAGAGAGCCAGGTATCTGGGGTTGCAGTTTCAATAATCACAGTGGGGGTAAACATGAAGTTTGGCTTCTAAACTTTCCTTAGGGTAATGCTAAGATGCTTCTTCATTCACTCAACAAATATTACCTGAATGCCTATATCCTAGTCACTTTCCTATTGCTGGAACACATTACTTGACACCCACAATGCAAAGAAGGAGAGTTTATTTTGGTTCGTAATTTTAATCCATAGTTGGCAGGTTTCAAGGCAAGATGGTAGAGGAAACTAGGAGAGGAAAGCTGCTCACATCTTGCAGCCAGGAATCAGAGGAAAGGGACCAGCCTGGAAAGAAAGTGCAACCCACCAGGTCTCAGCCCCCAGAGATGAGCCTCTTCTGACCAGGCCCTGCTTCTGCCATCACATGTAGCTATAGTGGCCTCCCCACTCCCACCCAATGATTCAATCACCTTCCAAAAGCCTCACCAGTGTGCAGGTGAAGCTCTTGGGGAAATCGAGATAGGAACCATAACAACCCGTTATGTAACAGGCTTTGTGCTGGGAGCTATGGCTGCAGCTGTGAATAAGTGCAGACAGCTGCTGCTCTCAGCACTGATATTTATTCTCATGTGGGTGTAAGAAGAGTGCATGCGTGCACTGTGTAATAAGGGAAAACAGAAGGCCTCAAGTACTAATTAAGAGTATTTAAGATACAAGTCAAAACTTCACAGTCAGGACTCAGCAAATACCTTCGATACTCTGCGGGCCCACAAGATTCATGGCCTGGTGAGCTGGATATTCTACCCGTGGCCTGGCAATGCCCAGCTGCTCCATCACACCATGAAGCAGCCTCTGGATATCTGTTTCCGAGACACGGTCAGGAGTCCGTGGGCTGTAAGCGAAAGCTGGAGTCCATCCAAATGCCAGCCAACACAGTAGGCCAGAGAGCACGGTAGAGACCATTCTGGAGACCATTTTTAACCTAGCAAGAAAGACCAAATTTATATGGATTGATCACAGTTGACAACTGTGATGATGCAATCACGTGACCACCACAGGGTGCTGCTTGAGGGTCACCTGTAGAGACAGCAGTGAAAATACCCGGAGGTTTGCTTTTGTCTCAAGTGTCCATGTAATGTACAATAAAAACCTGTCTGAGATATGATTCTTTCCATTCTCAAATTCTTGAGAAATCCGGGATCCTGAAATGGCAGTTCTCACTCACACGCTGTCCCTTAACTTCCTAAAGGTTGTGTTCCTTCTAACTTCACCACTCTCCTTTGCTTATCAAAACAAACAAAAACTTCTTCCAATTTTGAGTGAGGGCCAAATTTCAAGTTTGCCCAGTCTCAGGAAAGAAAGGAGTTTTCCCAGTCTCAGGAAAAAAAAGGCTAATGAGAAGCAGTTTGCAAGACACAAACACTAAAGCACAGAAAGTTTAGGTGGCCATGGTGACAGGGGATGTCTTTACTTCACAACTAACACCACTGAGATCCTGAGGGGAATGAAAAGCCGCACAGCTCAGGCCCTGCACTTGATCTGGTAGGAACAAGTGAGCACCTCCGCTGTCTCTTGTGAAAAGCGAGTAATGCAAACAGTTGGCTTACAGGGTTGTTGTGAGGGTTAAGTGTGCAAATACACCTAAAAAAGCTTAGGATTGTGCTGGCACACAGTGAAGCCCTGGACAGCTAGGGTGGTGCTCGTAATATCGCTTTGTAGTTCTGGAGAGAGGGGTTGGGGATGCTGTAGTGGTGAGAAAGAAGACAGGCTAAGGGAAGGAGGGTTCTATGTCTATGGCTCTGCCTGCAGAGCAAGAGCTGGTGATTTAGCTCAAAGGTATAAGCTTTTGCCTGGCAAGCATGGGAGGATTCAGCTCAGCGGTGTAAGCACCTGCCTAGTGAGGGCGAGGTCCAGTTCGATCCCTGGTACCAAACCAAAACCAAAACCAAACCAAAACAACAAACCCCAAGGAGCGAGTTCATGTTCTGGCAGCTAACCCTGCAGCTGTTAACTGGCCTAAGACCCCTGCCATGCTTCGCTTCAGTCAACAGCCAAGCAAAGCCCCCCTTCGAACAGTCTACTTAGGGCTAAATCAGAGCAGAATGAGGCAAAACCACGGATTTTCTTTCCTGAGACTGAAATATTCACAGCATTCAATTACTTCTGCACAGAAAAGCCTTTTCTGTGCACAGAAAAGCTGCTCCCAGACATAAAACCTTGCTGCTCAAAGAACTGAGACCAGCTCTTTGTTGCAACAGCAGAATCTGCAACTGTGATGAAAAGGCCAGAGGCAGGCAGCGGCCCCTCCACCCCACCTCATCGTTCCTACAGCTTGGAAGGCAGAAATGTTTCCTTTCCTCCCAGCTGACGCGGATCTGAGTTGACCAGCTACCCAATTTTCCTCCTAGAGACTCCTTTCCTCCATTTATACCTAGTCCTTTAATCCCCCTCCCCTCCTTTGTCTGACCTAAGCTTCAAGCTCCAGGATTTTGGAAGGGCATCTCCCCCACGCCCAAAGGCCACGCTTGCTTCAGAGCGCGCAGGGGACCAACCCACGTTAGTAAGGTACTCACCGGGGCTGTGTAAGGTACTCACCGGGGCTGCAGGGAGCCTGGTGCGGTCTGGGCCTGCTGTGGGGACGCTGGGAGCTGGACAGCTCCTGCGTCACCTCCCTCTTCAGGAGCCCCGCCCCGCCCCGCCCCTAGCAGGTGGAAGTGGCCTCCACAGCCCTGCAAAAAGCATCCCAGATGCGCCTGCGTTCTCTCCACGGGAGTTACCCGCTACTTCAACCCACGCATTTAAGAGGTGTAAACCTTTTGACTGTAAAACCTGGATACACTCTTCTATCAATTCGGGAAGCCATCTCTTCTGTATAAAGCAATTATCAAGACAATGTGCCCTACCGCCTTTTATTGTCACATTCTAGAAAGAACGGCTTGGCTTTTGATTTAAAATCTTTTAGCTTAAAAGGGAAAAGATTAAAAAATAAAGTCGTAAGTACTTCTAGCAGTGGTAGTATGTACTGCTTCAAGGAGCCCTTTTACTGGGGAGATTTTTTTTTTTTTTTTTGGTCTTTTTCATTTTTACCGGTACCAGGGATCGAACTCACGACCGCCTGCTTGCAAGGCAGGTGCTTATGCCGCTGAGCTAAATCCCCAGCCCATTACTGGGGAGATTTAACATAAGACTCTAGACTTTTGTTAAAAGTCATAACTTGAAAACCTCCAGGACTATTAGCACAAGTGTCAACTTGTTGTTACGTTTTTATTAAAGCAACAAAAATGTACATTTGTCCATAAAGCTTAAAAATACACTTTTTGTTTTCTTAAACAGACAGGTGTGCTCAATGGTCCAGCTCCCGGAGTTTGTTGATTTTAAAGTAATCATCAAGAAGACTAAGCAGGAGACCGCGAAACTGTTCTCAAAAGGTGATGACCTGCTTACAGACGAGATGCAAGAACACAGCTGCAGTGATTCACAGCCTCATCTCAACCCTAAAGACAAAAGGGCCGTGAGTGTCTGGGCCTTGTTAACACACAGCAGTACACTTGGAAGCAGTGTCTGGAAAGGCAGGGTGAAAGCTGGAGTTGGAGGGCAGACCTGGGTCGAAAGGGGTGAGAGTGTATGAAAGAGTAAAGAAATCCAGGAGAGGAGACTGTGGGCAGTGGAACTTGGGAGCAGACACACAGGGTGGGGTGGGGGGCTCCTTTTTAAAGGTGGGGTATCCAGGTTGCCTAGGTGCTCTATTTTTTAGGAAGATTCTTTGGGGAAATTTTAAGACCTCCTAAGAATCTCTCATTAATGTCACCGAGGAACAGAAGGAAATGAATTTCTTCCTGATGTAGTTTTTATTTTTCTACAACCTGGAACAGTGATACGTCCACAGACAAGCTTAGATGGTCCTGAGACAGCTCCAGTGCTGAGCACCCAAAAGAAGGCACAGTAGCAAAGATCTGGCTTTCAGTGCAGGCCTACGAAGACACCAGGAGATCCTGCAGAAGTGGGTGTCCTCCCCTGCAGTTCAGGAAAACCTGCAAAGTTCACCTGCCAGCCATCACCTCAAGGAAAGCAGGAGATGGTTCCCTAACCCCAGGCAGGGACCAGATTCTGAGCACTTGATCTCCTGAGTTATTTCTAAACATCCACACCAACCATCAAGATTCCACTTTGGCCTGAAAAGAAATCATACTCCAATGCAGGCACAGTGCTGGGGACATAGCTTCTCTAGAACTGTGGCTTTTCTAGTACTAAAAGAAGCTTCTGAGTAGGGATGCTTTATTTAAGTCCTTGGCACAATCCCTAGCATTATTTAAGGAAAAAAAAAATTAGGGATGAATAAAGTTCCTGAGGAAATTGCCATAAATATCTGAAATGTGTATCCAGTCTAAGTAATAAACCTGTTTTGATATCTGATAAAGAAAATTATAACTACAGATTTTTAGTCTCTCTATATAATCAAACACAGTGGTACCTCAGTTCACGAACACTTGTTTGCAAAAACATCAGGTCGCCTCCTCTCCCACATGAGCACAAACGTGGCCATCTTTTCCAAAATCATAGGACAAATTAAGTTCCCGAGCCAAGGTACTACTGTACTCAGTTTTGAGGAAGGACTGATTCCCAGGTTATGAATATAGAAAACAGCAAAATGCTTTAAAATAAAATTGACACACTATCCTCAAGTAGAAGTCAGTAAAGCAAACATTAAAATTCTTCCTATATATTCTGTACATTGTAAGTCTGACTGCTCCAAGTATGTGCAATCCTACTCTAGTTTGTGCACAGCTAACATGTGGCAGCTAATAATTTAAAATATAAATTTAGAAAGATTAGCTTGACCATTTGGTTCAAGTTACAAATGGCATTTTGAATTTCATTAGTCACAGGCAGGTCATTTTCCAGAAAGTTATCTTTAATATCTTCACTAAATAAATAACATTTACACACAAGACCATCGTTAATTTTTTTATCTGAGTACAATATACAGAGACGAATCAACTATTCAAGTTCTAAAGTCAAGCATCTGCACAGAAAAAAAAAAAAAATCACCTTGACTATTTTTTCAAGTTTTTCCTTAAATAATTTCATTTCTATAACAGACAAAAAAAAAAAAACACATGTATTTGTGCAAATTACCTTTAAGAACAAAGTATGGCTTAAAAGTAATCAATTAGTTCTACACTGTAAAAGCACATTTCCATGATCATTCTGCTTTAGCTATTGTTTATTTCAAGCGGACACACTATACAGGCACAGGAGATCTGCACCAAACTATTCTGCATCAAACATGAGTAATGCATAGACTATTAAAGCACTTTAGTTCCTAGGGATTTGGTAAATACACCAATCATTAATTTAATTCAAGGCAAGACTGGCAGGGCTTACTCTTTCCCTTTGCACACTAGGTTTTACAAGAAACCTTACATGATATGGAGAAATAGACAAAATTGGCTTCACTTTTTCTCACACATCCAAAATGAAAACCATGCTATATTTTTAAAAAGTTTTTTTACAAACCCAGCCAACAATTTCTGTAACCTCTGCTTTAAGAAATCACAAAAAATTTTGTTTAAATACTACCATAATTAAGAAAAACAAAGTAATGACATGTGTAGAGAAATGAAGATGCTTCAAAAAAAACCGGTTGCTTAGTAATCATCCTACACTACAAGTTTAACATGTACATTATTCTGCAAAGTCCTATCACCAACTGCTGATTTTATTTATACTCATGACAAGAATAACATTTGCCAGTTACAAATCTATAGGTTTACATGTTGGCAGTAGCTGAGCCTTTGCTATAGGATTTTTTGGAGAACCTTTGTACCAAGCTCTTTCCCTTTCTGATGGTTTCCTAAGGACCCTGGTTTTTATTCCAGGAGGAATGCCCACATCCTTCTTCACAGCAGATGCTAATGTATCATAATTGGTCAGGTCCTCCAGGGGAACTTTAACTTGGCCATGAGGTATCACCTGCTGCTTACAAACTGTAGCAGACCCAAGAGTAGCATTTCCAGAATCTGGATGCCTCTTCATCTTTACAAACTTCTGTTCTCTAGGACCTAGTTTGGTACTAAAGACAGGGGGTTCTTTTGATGTGTTTTCTGCACAAGAAGGAAGAGCACTGTCACAACTCACTGATTTAACCAGAGGAGAAGCTGTGTCACCAAGGTAAGTCAACTTCTGCCTTACAGGTTTTCGGCTATACTCCAACAAAGAATTAATTCTCCTCACAGACTGACGGACGGGAGTACGATGAAACTTAAGGGGTGACTTAGCTTTTGTTCTATTGGATTCATTTAACGAAAGCTGATTAAACCACTGTATGTGGTCTGAAACCTTCCCATACCCTGTCACACATACACTTTCAGAACCTGTTTTATTGCCTGTTTCCACCAGTGACTGCTGTTTGGCGATTCTCACAGGTCTACATTTTGACAGGTTTGTTATATTACATGCATTCTGCTGAGGGGAAGAGGATTTAGGGTCGTCTTCCCCAGAAGCTGTGCATTTCATTAAGTTCTCATCGAATGTATTCTTCTCCTCTGACTGAGTATGTAGCTTAGCTTCCGGGGACTGCCCTTCCTTCATTTGCTCAGCAATAGGGATCTCTTGCTGTACTAAATCATCTTTTTGTACATCTGAGTGAATGTCTCCATCGTGTTCTACCTTCATCTGAGCTGAGTAACATTTTATAATTGTTTCTCCACCAAACTTTTGAGTTTGATGTGGTAAGTCTCTTTCTGAAGAACAACTTTCATCTTTAACAGCAGAGTTTTCACAATTTTTCTCTGATTCTCTCACAGTCAAATCATTAGTTTCAAGATTTTCCTCTGATTTATACTCTACATAAGAATTTTCACTCATTTTTTCTTTTTCCATATCAGTTATTGATGATTGCCTATGACTTATCAGTGCATGAAGATTATTTCCAGACTCAGAGAAAGCTTTCTGAATCTTCACCAAAGTCTCTGAGGTCAGGTTATTTTCATCCCCACTAAGGGAGCTTTCTGTTACACTGCTGTTGGTTTTGCTGTGTGAAGTGGAAGGGGAGAATTTATAGGGTACATCAGGTGACTTTCCCACTGTAATTTCAGGCTCCAGAGAAAAGTTCTGTACTTTAAGATTTCCCATTCCCGGAGAAGCTTCATCTGCATCCACTTCTTGAAAACTCGAATTGCTAAGTCCTGTCCACGACATCCGGTACCTTCTTCCATCCAGTCGCTCTGGAGTCACTAAGTTCTCCTCAGATTTACTGATCTTTACTGAACCTAAAATGAAGCAGTTCAGTGCTTTTAATCCTTTACATCTGACCTCGTTTTTGAAATATAATCCAACCACATGGCAACTAAAGTTACTCAACACTTCCAAAAAATTAAAGATTAGTCATAATTTTAATATAAAAATACCAAATGTCTTCATGTGTAAGTATCCTCCAATTGTTGACAGAAAAATACATTGCCAATTTAAATATTTTCTTATTCAAACATAAACTTTATCTAGAACAGCAAATTGCTTAGTTCATTTTATCATTAAAAAGCAACTAAAAGAAAGTAAAGTAGGTTTTTCTTGGTAAAACTAACAGTACCGCATAAATGTACCTTTCTTTGGTAATCTTTCATCAATATCGGGGCTAAAAAGCAGTCCTGTTTTTACAGATTCAATCCTATTTTTTAAACTTTCTTGACTTGCAAGTCTCCGACCAACATTTTCATATCTATTAACACCAGAACATCCATTCTGTACAGAAAAGAATAATTTTTAAAAAATTGGTTAAGAAGTAAACTTAATTAATTTGAAATATTAAGACAGTAATTTTGTAGGTATCAAAATCTACAGCTCAGTAAAGAAGACATATATAACTGGGAAACCGTTTTGTAACACAAATATTCTTATCTGCTAATAAGAATTATATATATTAGTTGATATTTTATGCTACAAAATAAAAGCAATCTTACATATTCACTGTTTAAAAAAATAAAATTTGTACTATCTCTGTAAGGGCCTGTTCACAAACAATAGAGAAAAAAAGATCAAAATCTTATCTTCTTGGAATTTACAGTTTAGATGTGATTTCAATCAAAGCAAGAGAAACAATAAATTACACTGCATAAACCCAATACCTAAAGTAAAAGGTGTTATAAAGAAGAGGGTAAGGAAGATTCGGAGTGATGAAGGGTGGGAGTGTAATTTTAAATATAGTGACGAGGGGTCTATTTCTGAATCAAGAACAGTAAGGAGAAGAGCCATGAAGGTTTAGGGGGAAGAGCCGTGCAGAAAGAGGACCCAGTGTGGTCTCCGGAGCTGCAGCAGAACCTGGCATGTTCAACAACAAGATCAGTGAGTGGAATCAGCAAGCCAGGAACGGGCCTGCCAGGAGCAGAGCCCAAAACTGTGTGCTAGCACCAGAATGTGTGGAACCTCGCAGGCCAGTGTGAATTTGGGTGGAAAAAGAATCATTGGAGGGTTCTGAACGGAAGAGGGATGCGACCTAACTTAGTTCTCAAAGAATGCTTTGGCGGCAGGGCTGCAGCAAAGGTAGAATCTGGGGCCTGTTACTTGGAGCTTGCCGTAGGACACAGCTGAGGACAGCACACATGGGAACATGGTACTGGTGCCTGGAGATCAGAATACTGTAATAGATTAGCCGTGCATGAGAAAGCAGAATCAAGAAGTAGCTGGAGAATTGAAGCTTGGGAGTCTCAAGTAAATATACTGAGTTTAAACCTAACTATTCCCTTGAGTAAACAGAAAAAGTCCACGGACTAAGCTTCGGCCCCTCTATTCCAAGGGAATCTGAAAAGTGACCAGTGAAAAGCAAGGGAAGAAAGTACACCAAAGGCAAGCACGTGACTCCCCTGACAGGACAAGATGCTGACAGGACAAGATGAGTGAAAATTTATTTTGGACTGCTGGTTCGAGTAATGTTGAATTCACTGGTGGCCAGTTTCAGTTTTAGCGGGGACAGAAGTCTCGATACAAAGAAAACAGAATGGCTCGGTAGCCAGAGGAGAAGAAGGACTCTATTAGTACTGTCTACAGCTTATGCTAACGCAAACCCCCTGAGGACATGACAAGACACTTACTGAATCTCTACTTTTCCCCAGGCTAAATTTCAAACGCAGAGATCTTCGAACCTTTTCTTTGCGACTAATTTTAGGAGAGAAACAGCCTGCTTTTCCTGATTCCACCCTACAAAGAATCAGGAAAAGATCAGTTTACAGCACAAATGGAAGAAATTGTTATAAAATGAAACTTGAAAAAGTTCAAAGCAAATCACATTACTAATAATTGAACGAAGTAATTTGTTCCTTTTTAAATTCCTTCCTTTTTAAAGACTAAAGCTTCAAGACACCATACATGAACACGCTGTGATGGCACATAAAAATGATGTATTTATCATAAAAATGCGGAAACAAATCAGAATCATTACCTTAGAGTCACTTTTTTTACTTTTCATTTTTCAGTTATCATTTGATTCCTTGGATTAGTTTAAGGAGAAAATCTTAAAATGATATTAATTTGTGTCTTTTTAAAAACAGAAACAAGTAAAAATATCAATAAAACAGTTTCAAAACAGGCTGGTGGGAAAGTAAAAACAATTAATACATTGTGTATTGTTATATTAATAGTAGTTATTCAGAGTACAAGATACAAGCATGAAATACTGTCCAAAAATGAATTAGCACAAAATTTTCTTTCCAATGAACTAAGAGACATTGGCTAGTCACATCACTGTCCTCACTATCTTGTGTATATGTATCTTTCAGTTTTCCTACCTTCCTTTCCCCTTTCTCTCAGCAGTTTCACTTTTCTTTGATACAGTTTCTTCCCTATTCATAATATCTATGTATATTTTTGATCTTATTTATTCTTTCAGTTTTTCACATGTAGGTCTGATTTATTTCACTTGTGAGTATGCACTTGAGTTGCATCCATGTACCTATAAAGGTCTCAAGTTTGTCTTTCTTTGTGGCTGAGTAGTATTTCATTATATAAAAAAGCCACATCTTTTTTTTTTCCATTCCTCGACTGATGGACATATGAAAAAGACAACCACAGAAGTTGGAAATAATTTTAGCCAACTGTCCCTCAGACATAGGACTTTTATCTGGCATTTGAAATCTGGCAAGATTTGAAAAGAATCACAGGTCCCAAATTCAAAGTCCCAATCCAAAAATGGGCATCTGGGATGAATACACAGGTCTCAGATGAAGATATACAAACAGCACATATGAAAAAATGTTCAACATCATTGGTCATTTAAGAAATGCAAATTAAAACACTGAGATTCCATCTCACTCCAAAATATATGGTTTTTTACCAAGAAATCAATCAATAATAACTGCTAGCAGGGCTGTGGGGAAAAAGTAACCCTTGTCCATTGTTGGTGGGAGTGCAGACTAGTACAATCACTGTGGAAATCAGTGTGGAGATTCTGCAGAGAACTAGGATTAGAGGTCCCATTTGAACCAGCTAGTTCCCTTCTGGGTATCTTCCCAAAAAGAACTAAAAACATCAAACCACAGTGATATATGTGTTTCCATTTTTATAACCACACAACTTATGATAGACTAGCTTTTTAAACTAACAAGAAACTGGAAAATTATACCCACTGACACAGGATTTTAAGCAAGCAAAGTGGACATAAATTAGGAATTTTTGGGGGGTTGGTATATGGAGGTACTTGATTAATAAGACACCAAAAGAAAGGTCAAAAGTTATTATTCAAATCTGGTCTTGGTAGAATGACACAATATTTTACCAAGAACCATATGGCAAAATACATATGTATATATGAAATAGTAATCCAATGACTATAAAATGTCCTGGATAAATTACCTGCAAACTTTTTTGCCTGCAATTCTTTTACTTCGCCTTAGCACACCTGCACTGACCAAATGGTTTCCACTGACAGCGACAGGAGACAGTGAACTCTGAGATGACCCTTCTGGACTTGTATCACAATGTACTATAAAACATAACCACATACATCACATACACTTATTTTATTTTCATAGTATAAAACAGTAACAACACAGTTATATTTAAAGCTTTAATTTCTGCCCCCAAGCAACAATAAAAACCATAATTTCTGGTTAGAAAGTTTACATGTCAAATGACTGACTTGAAGTAGTATTTTATATATATATATTGCCCACTAAAAGTTACTTCAAATACTACTCTCATACTTCCTCCACTTTAAACTTAATAATATGAAAAGGACGACACCGTCATTCAGTGAGTAAAGCTAGAGTCGAGTTTGCTCACCCACTTGCATGATGTCTCTAGACAATGAATAAGCAACAGTTTTGTACAATTTCCAATATAGTATCTAGTATAGAATACTAATTATACTGTCATAAAAAATAAACTTCCAAAATGAGCTGGAGCCTGAATATTCGGGATACAGCCGCTTTTCCAATTGCTATTCACCTGACTCGAGACTGAAACTTGTCCAAACTTCCTTCCCATAACAAAAATTATCCATAACCATGACTAGGTCCCTCTGGCACTGCCATTTCCATGCAAAAAAATGGTTTGAGGGGCTAGGAATATAGCTCTGTGGCATGGTGCCTACCTGGCAAGCATGAGGTCATGAGTTCAATTGCTGGCACCAAAAAAAATAAAGGTTACAACAGAAATTCAACTTAATTAACTTATGTTTGACTCCTATCTAGTATATATCCAATAAACACTAACTTTCTGTCTGCATCATTGTTGATAAAGAGTTAACCATTTTTTAAATTTTGTTTTGGTTGTGGAAATGGAAAAAATACCACCAGCACAATGATTTTAGGGTGTATTAGGCTAAAGAAAATGTTGTAGGCCAATATATAACACATTTGACGTGACACAGGTAGCTTTACCCCAGAGCCACACGCCAGTCATACTGAAAGTGCAGCAGTGATCACACACGGGAAGCATGTTTAAGTTTATCACACGTGTGAGAATCACGTGTGATCAATCACGATCTACATTTACCTAAGAATTGTGGATTAATGTTGCCTTTACATATTAAAAAAAAGTATGGGATTTGTTACAACTCAGACTTAGAAATCAACTTATTTTCAATCTTACAGATGGAATTTATTGAGTTGTAGCTGCGAAAGTACAATCCAAGAAAAACAGTAAACTAAAAATAAGGAGCTAACTGCTGAACTTTTTAATGTTTTTATAAAGAAAATACACTGATTATGCAGACTCAAACTAAGATTAAAACAACACTATAGTGTTTAAGCTTTTGGAGGCAGCATGGAGAAGGAATAAATAAATTTGTTTCTTGGGGAAGATGCTCTGATGTGATTAAGTAGAGTCAGGTAAAACTACAACTCCACATTTATCTTTTTATTTATTTTTTAAATTTTATTTATTTATTTATTTATTTATTTTTTGTATCAAGAATCAAACCTATAACCTTGTGCTTGCTAGGCAGGCGGCTTGTGTCATTGAGCTAAATCCCTGGCCTGATAAAACTACAATTTCCATTTGCTCTTTGGCAAAACTCTTCCAAATTGGAATGGCTCTTAAATATTAAGAAAATACTAAGGAGTTTTAAGTCTCCAAACTTTAACTACTACGAGAGCTGCAGACATAAACATCATGGTTCTTATCATTAAATTTTAATGAGTCAGTGTTTGTTTTAACAGGGGAGACTTTATAAAAATACAGATGCCATAAAACACAGAATAGTTTTGGCTTCAAAGGATGGTATTAATCTGAAATAGTTCTTTGTCAAGAATAGGTACTCACATTAATCACTTATCAGTTCAATTATTTAAATAAAGGGTGACCAAAAATTTCATGTTTTTAAAATTAATTTTATAAGCTAACAGGAAATATAAGAACAATTTTGTCAAATTTATTTAATAATTTTACTATGTATGGTACATCTTAAAACATTCAACACACAATGCAATATTCCAATCTAGACAGTGTATATAGCCAAATTCGTTCTGCATTATTATCCTTCTTTGAATAACGTATTTTACACTGTCACGTTGGCCTCTCCTTATTTTTTTGTGGGTGGTATAATGTCAAAGAAATGTCTAACTACCAAACATCATGGTGAAGACGCTGATGATGGAGTTTCCTATACTTGGTGTTTCATTACCTCATATTTCTTATTTGGTCTATTAGACCTAATCTCAATTGTAAATGACTTATTGAACTCCTTTTCTGAGTATATAACAAACAAATTCCATATTGTTTGGCCTAGAAGTGCATAAATATTTTAAAATAATATTTTTCCCTAGCATTTTGATTGCAGGATAGTTTGTTAAATGCCAGTCAACTCTGTCAACACCATCCACAGAATTATACTCATGGACCGCCATTAAAATAATGTTAGTTTCCTCTCTTTATAAAATTCTATCATTTCTATATCGTGACATCTTTTTTGTCTTTCCATTTTGTAACACTTTTCCCCTCTGCTATGCTATTATTTCCTCCCTTTTCAGTTTCTTCTTTTGTAAATCTTTTGGTACTTCTGTCCTATTCAGTCTCAGTCCCAAATATGTCCATTTTATGCTGTAAAAAAATACCATTCAGTTGTGGTGAAGTACAAAACTTCTATCTAATGATGGGTTATTTTTCACAAATAAAAGAAACACAAATTAGTAAAACAAAATAATCAGAACTTATTAGATTTCACTGGAAACAAACATCAAAGGCAAATATAATGTTCTAAATAAAAAAGTATGCAAAAGTTTTTAAAAAAAAAATCCAAACAAATATGTGAGCATCTTGTGGAGATCAGAATCAACTAGTTAGAATGGTCCTGCTTGAGGTAAACTGTAAATGCTCAATGCCTACAACCCAGTTAAAGAAACCACATTTGCTACCTGAGACTGGTGTAGAACTGCCACTGAAGAGATTACTTGGCAACAGCTCAAAGTTAAAACTGTGCTTGATGGACTTCATTTTCTTACTTGAGAGACCATGAGAAGAATCTACGGGCAGTTTACGCTTAGCATTTGGTGTAAGAATCACTGGGGATTCAGATAGCTGGGCTGAAAACAAAACAAAACCAGTTTGCTATTTCTCCCATAAAATAGGTACAATACAAAACCTTTACACAATTTCTTCTTACAAATTAATACTCAGAGCGAAAAATGTGGGCGTTACAGTGCCATTATTAGACGTGTTATATAACTACACATTGCAGAAACTTCAAATGAAGAGCAAAGCTGAAAAGTGGCAAGGCTTCAGAAGCAGCAAAAACTTAAAACTCAAAAGAATAAAAGATGCATATAACACAGATGAAAGAATATTAACATAGGAAAAGAAATTATCTTCAACCCGTGATCTTAGAACTCTGGAGGCTGAAGCAGGAGGATTGCCGAGTGCTTGAGGCCAGCCTGCAGTTACATAATGAGTTCAAGGCCAGTCTGACTCATAGCAAGACCCTGTCTCAAGAAAACAAAAACAAACAAACAACAAAATGAAAATAACCCACCCCCACCAAAAGAAAAGTCAAAACAACTAATTTAAATATTATATTTGCTTTTCCTAACCTAATATTAATCAGTTTATTTCATCACTTAAAATCAAAAGATCAGGTTGTCTGGTATAGATCAGACATGTGAACAAGCAAATGAGGATAAAATATTGGAAAATACAATAATAAATTTCTGGTTCTAAAACAAAAATGAAGTTGAACTAATTCCCCATGTTTAATAGACTCTAAATTACAAGCAGCAAAAAAATCCTGATTAAGAAAACTGTACTATAAACAGACTAAAAGAAATTTTTATCCACAATTTTGACTTCATTATACCTAATATAATCAACAAAGTTGCAAAATCATATAAACACAGTATCTCCAATAAAAATTTTATTTAAACTAAATTTGACTATTAACTAAAATAAGTAATTTTTATTGTAATTAGTTTTTGTATATTACTACAGAAATTTTCACTTCAGTAGTTAACCAATACTTACCAGTTCCATCCTGCTGAGGTGTAACAGAGGGTGTTCTGTTGGATTTAAATTTATTTAGTGCTCCATTAACAAAATCTGAAATTCAAGGGATGTATAATTATATAATCGGTAAAAACACCTATTTTTTTTTCTACCAGTAATGCATATTTTGATTAGTAGCCTTATAATACCTAACTTTGTATCCGGTTAGATACTTTAAAATTTAAGGTTATTATAAAATAATTATTTCAACATAGAAAAACACTAAGAGATATATTTCTGTTCCACTCCATGTAATCCCATACTTGTATAAATATACAATAAAATGATAAAATGTACAAATTACAGACAGTACAAAAGAGGGCATCATTTTTTGATAGTTCCAGAGACAAAGTCTGAGCTGAAGTAGCAGCAGTGGAAATGGAGGCAGAAAGGGAAATGTTTACGAGAGTTCAGCGACAAGATTTGGTGACGATAGGGTGCGAGAACTAGGAGAGAGAAGATACAAACATGCACATATCCTAATAGACAATGGTGCCACCAAACGAAAAGGGACACTTGGAGTAGAAGGATTCGGCACAACTCTAAGAAATGGATATGAATCCATTTTGGGGAAAGATCAGAGCTGGAGAAGTCAATTTGCAATTTATTAGTTCAGGAATGGTAGATTTTAAAAACGCAAGCAAAGGAGGTCATTTAATAGGAATGAGTACAAGAATATGAAGCTTAAAAAAGATTTATTTATTTATTTATTTAAAGAAAGACTAAACAAGACACTAAATGGGTAGATATAATACATACTTTCAAAGAAAAAAATAAACAGTAATAAATCACTAATGTTTACATATTGTCCTCTTACAAATAATTGTTCAAGATACAAAAGTGGAATATATAAGTGGGAATTCAAACAGTGAGATTGCAAATAGTTCTATTCAACTATCCAACCAAAACTTAGTAATATGGTTATCAATCCTATACACTTAAACATATATGCAATTATCTCTATCTTCATTTATGTTGAAATTAAACAAACCAAAGCAGACTAAAATCATTCTAGACAAATAATAATAGTATTGCTGGACTTCACATCATGACACTCTGGGATCAGCACTGGGTACTGCAGTGTCTTTTCCTTGAAAGTATTTGTTCATTTCGTCATGTGTTGTAAGATCAGTTCTCATAAACTGTTTATAGGTTCTATGCATGCATGAGTCTTAACATGTATTTCTATCCTTTCTATATTGGAGGGTGAAACAATACTAAGTAGGACAGAACAAAACATATTCCTGTAGGTACATAAAATGAAAAAGACATATAAAACCACTGCACAAGGAGTTCTACCATGGTTACTGTGTTGTCTCTTGTTATCTTCAATAGAATTGTCTATATCATCCGACATAGTATAATTGAATGTATCAGTACATAACAGTATTGACAGAAACACGACTTTGTAGATAGTATAAAACTGCAAAAACAGGTAGTAATCAAACCAGAATGGGTCTCATAGTGAATCTTGTCATTTTCAGTACAGTTGTCTATACTCTCAGACTTGATACTATTATAACAGTTTTGAATAAAATCTGTCCATAACAAACAGCAATCAAACAAACCAGATTTAACTAAAATCAGTCATAACAGTATAATTTATACAGGACTCCAGATTAAGTTAATAGGAAATTAAAAATGATTACTGTGCTATATCTTAGTGTTTTTGGGAGAGCTGTCTGTGCCCTCAGATCTAGTGCATGTAGACAAACTGGGACAGAATAAGTTCTATCTAAGCAGAGCGGTGCGAGTAATATGGGTTTTGATTCCTGATTCACTATTAACAGTATCTTCTTCTGTCTTTTATAAGACTATTACTCTCCTTTCACTCTCCCAGGGAATACTGTGCATTTTTGGGTCTCACCAACACCCTCGGTTTAAATGGGGGGGGGGAGGGCAACCTGCTATTTACCTAAGTGGTTTGAAATCTTCTCCCTCCTGAACTTGATCTTGTATTCCTTTACCTATTAAAGCCTGTCTTTCCCACCTATCCTCAAATACTAGTCTAGTTGCCCCTATTACTCTCTGGTTCCCTGTCACAGAGCACTGTTTTCTCATATTTGATTTTCAGTCCATATACCCTTTTTCAGGTTGATTATATTTCCTAAAGAGCATCTCGGTGGACCCTACCTCCTGATCTATTCTGCCTGTGATTCTTTTTTTTAATTTAGTGTATCAAGGCCATCTATGTTAGAGATTATAGCCAATCTTCTCTGCCTCATTTCTGAGCTGCGCTTTTTCCATCATTAGTTGTCTGTCTTCTTCATTTCGCTTTTGCTCCATTCATTGAGGCCTCTCTGCCACTGTTCCTGGAATCCTGGTACTTTTCTCTCTCTTTAGAATGTCCTGCAGTATTCTCTATAGTGTTGCACGGGTGGTCACAAATTCCCCCAGTTCCACTTTGTCTTGGAAGTATCTTGTTTCTCCATTAATTTCTAGAGATAGTTTTGCACAGTATATCAATCTGGGCTGGAGGTTATTTTCTTTCAGGGCTTGGAATACTTGACTCCACTCTCTTCTCGATTTGATACTTTGTGCCAAGAAGTCAGCCATTATTCTGATGGGGCTTTCCTTTGTAAGTAATCTGTTTCTTGTCTCTGACAGCTTTTAATATTCTGTTCTTATATTGGATTTCTGGAATCTTGGTTATTATATGTCTGGGTATAGTTCTGTTTTGGTTGTAGGTGGCTGGAGTTCTGTATGCCTCGTACATCTGAATATCATTTCCTTTTCCTATGTTTGGGAAGTTTTCCTTAGTTATTTCTGCAAATAGTCTTTGTAGTTCCTTTGCTTGTACCCCTGCTTCTTCATTCACATTCTTTATTCTTAAATTATAGATCCTCTTGTTGTCTTTTAGCTTTTGTATTGTTACTGCTTGTTTCCTTGTTATTGTTGAGAAATTTTCCCTTTCATGATCCCACATTGCAAACCTCTCTTCCAGTTTGGATAATCCTTAGTTTCTTTCAAGCAGTTTTGCCAGCTTTCAATGGAGTTTTTAATTTCCTGATAATCTCTTTGAACCTGCTTCATGTACTCTATGCGTTCTTTATATTCTTCATCAAATGATTCTCCCCTTTTTTTGTGTTCCTCCATTCTTGTCTTTGTTTTCTTGAGAGGTGCCTAGCATCTCTGTTATTAATCTATTTATATCTTGCTTTAACTTGGTTAAATATTTCACTTTTGAACTCATCTATGAGGTCCTGATACTGATATTGTATGTTTGCTGTCCTCCATCTCCTTTGTATTTACCTTTCCTGGACAATGTTCTCAGGGCTAGGGGCTGGGGACTTTTTCTTGTTGCTTCCTCTTCTCATATTTTTTATTTCTTCCATACAGGTATATATAGAAGGCTCCAGTTTCCTTCTTTGTTGGTTATAATTCTTCTTCTGAAGTGCGCTGGCTAGATGGGCCTGCCCACTGCAGGGTGCTTGAGGTGCAAAGTATACTGGCTCCTCCCCTCCAGGTCAGTCAACCTGCTGAGGCCTTCACTGCATTAATGTATGTCGGGGGCATAGGGAATTGGTTTGGGATAACCTATTGGATCTCAGCCAGGGGTATAACCCAGGCCAAGCATACCCCACCAATCCCATTTTGGAAGGGAGCAAGTGACTGAAGTCACTGCTGCTCCTTGTTCTTGCCAGTCTGCCCGGTCCCACAATATCCTCTGTTGGAGCCCCTTTTTCTGTGGAATGGTTTTATTCCACAGAAAAATGGCACTCACCACAGGTCGATACAGGTTTCCCACCAGCTCAGCTCTCTGTTTGGCCTGCCAACCCCCAACCTCAGTGTGACTGCGCCTCCAGTGAGTTGAAGTGGCGGGATTTCAGGTGGCTCCGTAAGTTCCGGTTGCCGAGGCGCTGCAGTGAGAGCACCAGGCCTTTAGCTGTTCCAGTAGCAGCACCAGGACTGTATGTTTGATCCGTTCTTCTCATCTTAGTATCTTTCTGGATCGAGAATATTCATCTCCCTCTCTTCAGGACTCCCCACGCTGTATTATTTTGAAATCTAACTTGACTATCTAAGGGAGCCTCTGTAGTCTGCTGTTATCTATCTGCCATCTTTATCGGAACCCCTTAAGAAAGATTTCTAATGCATAAGCCAGGTGTGGTGATGCACACACCTGTGATCCTAGCATTCAGGATGCTGAGGCAGGAGAACTTCTGTCAGTGAGTTCAAAGTCGGCCTAAACTACAGTGAGACCATATCTCTGAAGGAGGATGCATATGAATGAATGTGAGAAGGTCAAAGATGGAAGAATGAAATATTCAAGAGGTGGTCAGAAAAAAAATCCTACAAATCAGACAAAATAAACGGCCAAAGAAATGGGGAAAGAAAGACAATATAATATTACAAAAAAAAAAAAAAAAAAAAAAAAAAAGGAAAAGAAACCAAAGTATCAAAAAGGAAACAGTCAAGTAGTCACAGAGATACTGACTAATACAGACCTAAACCATGTATTTTAGATTTAGCTACTTTGACTTCCGAATCACCAAATGTCACTTAAATATTCATTTAAGTTCAGAAACAGCTCAATAATATACAAGGGATGATCAAAACATACGGCAAGGAGGGCTGCAGGTTTTCCAGTCTCTCCTGGGTAATTTAGTGACAGCCTGTCTCCAGTTTAAAAAAAAAAAAAAAATATATATATATATATATATATATATATATATATATAAAAGGGCCAGGATTATAGAGTTCAGTGAGAAGACCCTGGGTCCAGTGCCCAATACAAAAAAAAAAAAAAAAAAAAAAAAAAAAGAACTGGTAAATGTATATTAATGTTACATGGCAGTTTCCTATATTTTTCTGAGAGGTTTCTTGCTAGCTGAAATTCTTTCCAATCTAAGCAGGCACAGTGGCACAGACCTGTAATCCCAGCACTTGGGAGACCAAGGCATGAGAATTAAAAAACAAAAACAAAAACAACACACAGTAAATGTTTAATGTTTTTTAAGAACCTTTATTTGCTTATGGCTTTTTTTTTTGTACCGGAGATGGAACTCACAACTGCGTGCTTGCAAGGCAGGTGCTCATGCCACTGAGCTAAATTCCCAGCCCCAAGAACCTTTACTACAGTAAAAGACACTGCTAAGAATGAAGGGGTAAGTGTGTTTGGAGCTACTGTTTTCAAGTAGGTCAATGGCAATGTGTCTTTGCAATGACTTGCCTTTTACTGCAATAAATTTTAAAATGTATGCTTTCACTGTGGTTTTAATCTCCTCTCAGACTACTGACAAATCTTACATCTGACAGTGAAGCAGGAACAAATCAGAGAATACTGAAACCTCACAAGAAGTCCAAAATGGGCAATGCTCCAACTGCCAACCTTTATGGTACCAATGCAGACAAACAAGGTCACTATCACAGGAAAAAAGAAACAAGAGAAACAAGAGCAAAAAAATAAAGAACAAGCAACAGATTCAGCCACAGCAGAAAGCACACACTTAGGAGAGCACAGGAAAATCAGGAGTATGGGAAAGCAAAACGTCCCTTCCTGTTCACTGAGCCAGTGATCGTTTACACAACTGCTCACACACGCAGAGCTGGGAGCATGGAGCGCCCAGATGGACAGGTTTTCCAGCCCTAAAATGCAATTGGTTAAGCAAAGGGGTGTCACATGACAAATATATACATAAACGCTTTGAGTGGCTGAGTAGTATCTTTCCTCTCACGCGGACAGAGGGCTCTACCTGGCCTCAGCCTTCTGTACTCTATCTCTTACCTTTATCTCCCCATCCTCTCGCTGTCCTTTCCCTGGGAACAGAGACCTACACTAGATGTGGCACCTTCCAAACCCCCAAACTGTCCCGATAGCATCATGGACCACACACACATTACTGAGACCACCTAGAGTGATGGTAGCAAATTTCAGTATGCGTGTTATTTGTGACAAAAGATGTTAATGCAGGATTTGGGCTTTCTAAACCAAAATCTCCATTTTCAGGATTAACTGCATTGTGGGTACTCTGTGATAAATTAAGTGTGTTTTGGATTACAGTCTGGGTACTAATCTCTAAAAGGTTTACCAATATTGATCTAGAGTATAAAGAGAAACGGGAGTCTCAGGCTCTGTAATAGGCTCATCATTTTGGTCTCTATTTCATTTCAGGAAATACAACATCAACAAAGGTATTATTGTTAATCAGCTCAGCACTGTATCTATGAAAGATATTTGTGAGCTCAATGACAATACCGAGCAGTACTCACACATGCTCGCACCATAGAGAACAGGAAAATTACAAGATTAAATCAATCTGCTTATAAGAACTTACTCATGGGATCCTGTGTAGTCTCTGAGGCAAGACAACTGAATGCTGTTAATATATAGCATAAAACTAAGCTAGAGTAATTCATGTAATATATTTATCAAAGCAAAAGGTCTAGAGAGTTATATAATAATGTGAATACACTTATCACTTCTGAAAAGTACTTCACAATTGTTGAGATGAGCTAGCCATGGTAGCTCATACCTGTAACACTGACTACTCAGAAGGCTGAGGCAGGAGGATTATGAGTTTAAGTCTAGCCTGGGCAATTTAGCAAGACCCTCCCTGTCTTAAAATATAGAAGGCTGGACATCATATTAAAGAAGCTGAAAGTTTTCCTTGTGAAATCAGGAATATGACAAGGATGTCTGTCACCACTGCTGCTCAATCCAGTTTTTGAAACATTAGCCAGAGTTATCAGGCAAGAGAAAGAAAAGGTCTATGTATAGGAAAGGAAGAAGTGAAATTATTATTTGCTCATGACATGATCCTCTACATAGACCAAAAGAATACTAGACTAACCAAATTCAGTGGCACAGTAGGATACATAAACTCATAAAAATCAATAATGATCCTATATACCAATCATAAACTCACTGAAAAAGAAATTAAAGAAATTAATACCTTTCATGATAACATTAAGAAAAATTAAACACTTACAAGGAGTTACTTTAACCAAGGAATTGACCTCTATAATGAAAACTATAGAACTTTAAAAAAGAAAATTAAGGAGGACCTGAGAAAATGGTTCTTATTCCTAGGCAGGCAGAATCAATAGTGTCAAAATGGCCATACTTCCAAAACTGATACACAGATTTAACACAACCTTAACCAAGTATCAATAGCGTTCCTCTTAGAATTATAGAAAACAATCCTAAAAGTCATATGGAACCTAAGATACCTAGAATAGCAAACCAATCTTGGGCAATAAGAACAAGGCAGGAAGCACCATGATCTTGGTCTCCAAATTATACTACAAAGCTACAGTAACAAAAATGGGATGGTATTTACAACAAACAAACATATATGTGAATTAACAGAACAGAATAGAGGATGTGAGAACAATCCCAGGCACATTCAGTACCTGCTCTTTGACAAAGGGCTCAAAAACTTACGCCAAAGGGAAGACAGTTTCTTTAACATATATTTTCAACTGTTCTTCCTACCTTTCCTTCAATGAAATAATTTCCTAAAATACTCTATGCCTCAGGTCATTATCTCTTCAAAACCTACATCTAGGTTAATATTCTAATTCTTCAGCCTAACATCAAGTTCACCATGCTATTCTAGTGCATACAATGAACCTCTCACTCAAATCACACTGATTTATTATAAGACACACATGTATTACCTTTTTCCCGTACAACTTTCTTCATAGCATCTTTCTAGTATAGAACATATTTTCTGATCCTTCATCTAACCCCTTTCCACTCACTCTTTAAGAAGTCCAATTTGACTTCCTCTTTGACAGACTCTGATCATTTTACCCAGGGAATTTTTCTCCTTTGAACACATTTTATGCTTATACTATAGATACAGTACCCAATACCATGTTGTGCAATCACTGTATTTCACATGCATATCAAACAGTTTCCAACTGTGTATCAAAAAGGCACATCCTACAGCTTATGCTTCATGTCCAAAGGGGACACACCAGTAAGCAAATCGCAGTACCTCCCTAAAACAAGACTGCCACTTACCTCCAACACTTTGCCTTCGCTTTCTCTTGCACTCACTGGGGGTTTCATGGTCACCATCTTCAAAGACTTCCAAGGATGGAGTGGCACAGAGACCATCAATACCCAACATAGCTGGTATCTTTTCCAGGATAAAATCGGGTACTCGCCCTAAATAAAAGTTTTCATAAATAAGATTACTATTATCCTTCCTTCACACTCCCCTCCAAACACTGTGTAGCTAATATCCAACTCTTTAGTAGTTGCTTTCACAGTAGATATGGAAGCACTTAGGAACTGCCACATTTGATCAAATCCTATTAATGACGGAGCCACAGCTTACCGATGTCTGAGGCGTAATCTATAAAGGTCTGTACCACTGCAGCCTGCAATCGTAGCTTTTTTTCGGTGTTAGCAGACATCTTTTCATGTCCCTCACTTGTCTGAAGAAGATTTGGTGCAAATATTACAGCAAGATTGCTGCTATTCATCTTATTCTTACTGGACCTTACATGAGAAAACAGGTTTCATTAGACGGAGAAACAGGTAACAGTATAGAAAGTTAAGGTAGCATATTAAGCACATGTTGAAGATTTATTAATCTATCAGTCATAGACCAGTCAAACCAAATATTAGATCAAAGACTGCTCAGTGGTAGAGATTGATTTACCTACCACCTTGGAGCCTGTGGGTTCAATACCCAGCATCAAAAATCAAAACAACAAAGAAAACGTAAGAGACAACCAAAATATATTATCATCTCCATATAATTAGCATAGATTATAAAAATCATGGTAACCAAAATCCACACAAATGAAACATGTTTGTCTGATTTTCAAAGTCACAAATAGAAAACTAAGAGTATTAGAAGGTGGCAAGTAGGTATAAAATCAGTGGACTGGCAGCAGGGACAGGCAACATATTAGAAAAGCAAAGGACAAATATTTTTTAAAACACAGCAATCACAAGTCTTTCTATGTACAAGGAATCTTGTAAAACACTAAGACATCAATAAAACAGGAAATCAATTATACAGTCTTTCCTAAATTATAAGGTGTACTTCTTTTAAAGAAAAATTTCCATTTAGAAATGGAATTTCTTACCCACAAGGGAAAATCTCTAGGTAGTTGAGAAATTACACTATCATTTCCCAAAGACTTGTAATTATCACTTACCTAAGAGAAACATTCCTGAGAAAGTTAAAGAAATATCTTAATATATCAATTGTATGGTCAGTCATAAGGCAGGAAAGTAACAATGTGGCTGTGTTCTTCTCCTCTGATCCTAAATGTTGCGCTTTGAAAAGTGCTTCATGCAAATTAGCAGGAAGAATGGGCTCTGGCAACTCCCTAAAGAACTGTTTAAGAAGTCCTGCAACGTCACAAGGAAGCGCAGAGGACAGGCCACCTTCACCGTTATCCAGTTTACTCTGAAACAAATGATAGAGAGCATCTTCACAGCTTCAGAATTCATTATAAATAAATTAATCCTCATTATCATTAAAGAGTTTTTGTAAAGTTCTCTCGTTTTAGTAGTTATTACTCCTCTGCAGAAAGGTAAAAATAAAACTATAAAGTTTTCATTTCAGGTAGGACTTTATAAGGGCTATGAATTTGAAGTTACTCAGTAAACTTTTGAAGTATTATACAAATGATATAAAACTTCTTTTCAAGATTCCTCTGCCAGGAAACAACAAAAAACCCTCCCAATTCATTTTCTGTCAATTATTCAATTATGTTCTAGATACTTCAATCACAAAGAAACCAAATCAGAAAGTGATAAACATGAAAAATTATAGGTCAAAAATAAGCTTACCTTTAGTGCCTTTAGGCGAATAACAGATCCTGATTTCCTAAAAAGCCCTTCGGTATGAATATGTTCTTCTAAAGATGTGCAAGCTTCCACAAGAAAGCTGAAAGAGAAAACTGGTTCATGCGGCCAGATACACACTATACCAAATCCTCTCCTCCTTCCAAAATCATGAGCAGGCCAAGTACTATGCCCCTTTCAGAAGTTCTAATGTCAGAAACCCCTTTAATCTTTGGGACAAAGGCTTGCAGTTATCTTTCTTGCTCCTTGGAAACTTCTTCAAGTGCATCTTTTTACTCAGCCAACTTCAGTGTGACCGCTTAGTTCCACATCCTTTTCAATCATCCTCCATCTGTCTGCTCGCGTTCAGTTAGTGACTGTCTCTGTCAATGCACCCCTCTCCAATCAGCTCTCACACTCATTACCGCAAACAATTCTCATCAGTCAAGACAGGCCTCTGCCTTGCCAAACCCGGGCTTAGGCAGCATCTTGCCTTGTGCATCAGCTGACCACTTCCCTGCTCACAAATACTCCTTTTGCCATTTTTCCACTATCCCTCTCTCAAGCTCCTTTTCTGTTTCTCCCTCATTTTCTACCAGATCTCTCAGGATAGTGGAATGACTCAGGGCTCTGTCCAAGGCTGCCTTCTTTTATCTACTCTCTCCCCATGGATTACCTGGTACAGCAGACATAGCTTTAAGTATCTATCATCTACTCTATATATGCTTGAAAATAAGATAAATTTTTCTCACTCAAACATCATTCCTCAAACTACTAAGATATATCCTAGTCCTTACAATTTTTCTCATCTTAGAGGTTGTGTGTTGAATTTCTTTATGTTGAACAATAATCTCAAACTATCTTAGCCTTAGATACTTAAGATACTCAACAACTGGTACCAACAAATTAGAATGTATTCCAGCGACAAAAGTTGTAGTGGGGCCTATCATAGAGGCAAAATGTCAACCCAACATACAAAGTGTAATGCATAGTTGGGTTCTTTTGCTTGTTTTTTTAATGAGGTCAAAACCTGTAACAAAAAATTAGTCATTATTCCTAGGGATATGATTGTGCAATTCCAAATGCTGGAAACTACTGTACGTTTTCATAACAGGAAAAGCAGTCATTCGTAAATCACGAAAAAAGCTAAATATTAAGTGGTTGTTTTAGAAAGACCGTGCATCTAATCCTAAGGATTAATGAAGGAAAACCATAGTCAGGAAGCAAAATGTTCAATAAGCACTTCTGGCTGACAAATCACTTAAAGCTCTGTAACTGGACTGCAGTAGACAAAAGGAGCCCTACTTTGCATAGAGGGAAAATAAATTAAGAGATAAGAAAGTTCCTTTATATGCATTTTATAGTTAACTATAAGTTATAAAAGTTATAGTTAACTTATAGTTAACATAAACTTGCCCAATAATTTCTGATGCAGTTAGTCAAAAAGTTATTCACAAAAAGCAAGTGACATAGGAAAGTTAAAGCACTACATAAGATATTGTGAACTATTCACAAATATTCTTAAGTTAAATATTCTTTTATCTAATGTCTCAAAAATATCAATTATTACTGAATTGGTAATTCAGTCCTGATTTTTTGAGGCACGATCTTGCTATGTAGTTCAGACTTGCCTTGAATTTCTCATGTACCCATGGTTGGCCTCAGACTTGAGACAGCCTTTCTGTCTCAGCCTTCTGAGTGCTGGGATTATCAGCATGCATCACGGCATCTGACTACAATTTAGTGTATTACTTAAATCTGAGTTGTGGCCAAAGAATTGGTAAAGAGTTGAAAACTCTAACTGAACAAAACTAATTTAATATTCAAACACAGACTCATTACTGGACATTAAAATTCAGTCCTGGAAGTGAGTACAATTGACACATTCAAAATCTCATCTTTGCATTAGTTTATACTGAAAGATGAAATCAATTGCTAGTTTTAAACCATGGGTACTTTACACTATTTATTGTTAAGCCCTCTAAAACCAGTTGGAACTATTTACTCTTCATTTTGAACTGTGCTTACCTTGGAATGTGTCCATATTCTGGTACAACAGAATTGGGCAAAGCATTAAAAGGGACTCCAAATATTTTACTCTGAAACGACAAACTTAATTACCTTAACACAAATATAAGGTGTAAAATGAATTTTCTTAAACATTGGGCAAATTAAAAACCTTAAAAATAAAATCAGAAATAAACTGCAAGCTATCAGTCAAAACAAAAGAATTATTTCAAGTACACTTGGTAACAAATAACTACTACATTATTAGGCATTCTGCTAGAAGTTTGGTGTACAAAAGTGGCCAAGATAAAGCCATGGTCCTCAAAATATTCAGTGGATTCTGTCTCTAGTGGCTATGGAAAATCAATTCAGTCGTGCTTAATAAGATCTTAAACCAAATTTAGCCTAAAAATTAATATTTTCCCCAAAACACAACAGGTTCCCCCACTGTCCTCATATATATTTTCCTTTAGTCACTTCATAAACACTAACTTGCAAAAAGATTTAGCCAGTTGATAATTAAAGCACTGATTCCTGTCACTCACTGATTACTTCTTAAGAAACAACAGAAAGGACTTTTATTATATCTGATATCTTTTCCACATTGTAAGGAAGAGTGCTTTTCAAACTATATCCTGAGGGGCCCAGGGTAAATATTTAAGTCAGTTTTGCCATCTTAAAACTCATTTTTAGAAATGCACATTCAAATTTTAAAACACTAAGGATCACAAGAGTAAGCATCTGCATTAGTTAATCTGAGCCGTCTTGCACAGTCTGGTATAAACAACCTGCCACCATTTTTATACCCGCATTTGAACTTCTAAAAAATGTATGACCTAGAGACTGTTGCTTGGTCCTGGGTTCCACCCCTGGCACCACAAAGTAAAAAAGCAATATAGAGAGACGTTTCTGATTGAAGCAACAGAGACATGCTCCTGGCATCTGGCTAGTTAACGCGCATTAAAGCCAGATGCTAGTAAACATCCTACAGTTCACCGAACTTGCCCCTGCTTTTAACAATCATCTTGTCCAAAATTTCAATAATGCTGAGCTTAGAAAACCCTATCACTTTTTCTCAATGATCAAAAGTTCCTGAAAAGAGACAAGAAGGTTATGTTTTAAATAACAGGTGATGGCATAGGTTGATTTAGGCGCATCTAACCACATTTCTTTTTGACTTACAGTGGATTCACACACTGTAGCATGACACTGTAATGGGTGATGGTACCGGGCGTGACTTCAGCCGTTAACTCAAATCCCCTTTCCCAAGAACTTACCCCAATTTCCGGGGCTGTTGATTCGCGCTTCTTGCGATCGCACTGCCCATGGCCACCCTTGACCTTAATACCATAAGCAGCCCGAAGGTGCTGCAGCAACGCCAACCTAACCAGCCTCTGATCCCACATGCCAGACGCGCCGTCCCCTCTCCGGGGCAAGATCTGAGTCCGCAGTCTTGTTCGCCACGAAGTCTTCCAATTCCCCAACACTCTCAAGTTTAGAGCTCCGCTCCTCTGCCTTCCGGCCAGGTCTGCCACCTCTCGGATTCCGGGCCCCAGCCACTTCCACGGATTTACCTCTACCTTCTCTGCACTTACACACGCCCTCTTCTCTAGACCCTGGAATCCAGCCACGCCTCACTCTTGCACTTACACTAACCTTCTTTCCTCTTCTAATCCCTTCAGTTACCTACACACACCTCCCTCTGACTCTGATTCGGTACCCTGCACCACCGCCTGCTGCCAGCCTTTCACCACTTCCGACCACTTCCAGTGACCCCTTCCCTTCACACTTCGCTTTGCCTGCTCCAGCTCTCTGAAATGTAAAGACAACTTCTGTTTTGTCTCTGTATCCTCGGCAGGAGCAGCTGGACCTAAGCCTCTCGGTCCCGCCCAGCCTCCGGACCAGCCGGCTGCTCAGGTGCTCTTCCAGTCCCGGTTCCCGCCCGGGCTGGTCGCCGTCGTCACCTCGTTTTACGGGGTGCTTCTTCTCTCCCCCATCGGCCTGCCGGCGGCACACCGCCTACACATCCCACTAAAGCCAGGCAACTCTCCTCATGCCTCAGCCAGCCCCCTCCTCCTCCGCAGACGCCCAGTACACCGCAACCGGTCGTCCCACAGCTGTTCCAACCCAGGATCAAATGGCAGCGCCAAACAGTGCTCCGCACCTGATTGGTCAACTCCTCTTTTCAAAATCAGGACCCTCTAAGGGTGGCTAGAGGCTGCCTGTCTAAAAAGGTTCGGGCGTGGATGACCCACAAAGGTTGTGGGGTATAAACCTAAGAAACATAAAAAGTGAGTTTCATTTGCTCCTTCGTTGTCATATTTTTGACGAAAAATACGGTTAAAGTGCTTTCCAATTTATCTGGGTTAAACAATAGATTCGGAGAAATATGACAGACACCTCAGTTCCTTTTTTTTTCAATCTCCGAAGAAATTGAGGGCCCTCTTTCAGATTAAATCGATTCTACGGAGCCCGAGGTGAGTCAAATAGAGTTAGCATTCACAAACTCTGGTTTTGGTAAATCTAACCTGGGACGGCGGCATTGAATTTCAAAACCTCGAGAATTGCTTCTCATTTCGGAACTGATGGCAGTGTTTAAGTCTTCCTGTATAGGTAGTCAAATACAACAGGGACGATCTGTCATGAGAGGGTCGAGTACTGAAATGCAAAATCTGGGAAACAGTTTTCGCCGTGGATTTAGAAAACAAGAAGAAGCCCTCGCTCCCCTGCTGCTGCTGAAACCTTGGTCTTGTGGTTGACCTGAAGCACTCATTGAACACTGCCCAGCTCCTGTTTCCCAGCTGCTTTTCTATTCCCAAACACTAGCAATCCTATCGTGCGGACCCCCTTTCTAGGAATTCTTTGAGTGGGAAACCTGCATTCACTCCTTCATTACTTTGTAGTGCATCTTGCTTTGTAGTGCAGGCTAGCCTCCAACTAACAGTAATCCTGCCTCAGCCTCCCGAATGCTGAGATTACGGACCCATTTAAATAGAGCTGCGGAATTTTGCCTCACGTGTTGCTGTATTAGTCGCCCCTGACCAGTACCATACTGCCAGGAGCTAAATGAGTTATTTGCTCAATGAATGAATTTAAGTAGGTGATGTTTTCTTAGAAGGATTTTACTCTTGGAGTTCAAGTCCTCTCTCTATCCTCATCAATTTAAGAAGTCTCTGAGTGAAGAGATAGGAACAAATGGAAGACAAACATTTTGTTTTAACTTTGAAATTGTTTAGCAGACTTTCAGACCTCCTAGGGTAGAGGAATTTGGGTCACTTATTTATTAATGGAGAGACATGCACTAGGGAAAGGAATGATCATAGTCTGTTATCTTTTCCTTGATAAGGGAGAGCAACGTGTCAATGACTGAAGAGTCAGCAGAAATTAACTTGTCAAAAGTTAAGATGGGGAGGGGAGGGCAAGAAGGGGAATTAAAATAACTTAAGATATACTACGTACATGAATCTGTTAGGGCCGACGCCGCAGGGAAAGAGACCCCAAGGACTCAATTCTTGGTGAGGGAAAAAAGTTTATTTCCATGCGCATGGGGTCCCCCAGGCAAACAAGTGCAGAGGGGCCCCGAGGGGAATTTGTGTAGGGTTTTTAAGGGTACAAGCGGGAGGCAAGCAAGTTTACAGAAGCAAATCGCATTGGTTAATTTTGAGCAGCATAGGATTTGGCAGAAATTGATTGGAGGGGTTTGGGGTTGAGTAACCATGGAGACTGGGGGTCCTAGCCCAGTCACTATGTGCCCAGAACAGAACAGTTACTTGTCTTACTTATCTTGTTGAGACAGAACGACCTTGCAGGTGCATTTTTTTTTTTTTTTTTTTTTTTCTCTGCTCTGATAGCTCTGGGGAGTTAGAGAGTTAACTCTTTTATTCCCCGCTCTGGGGAGTTAGAGAGTTAACCCTTTCAAATCAACTCCCCATAATCATTATACGCTGCAATTAATAACATTTTCAAGAACTTTTTTTTAAATGAAAGTAAAATGGTTGAATGGAAGCAGCACTCAAAAGGCAAAGGCCCGCAGAAAAAGCGAAACTTTTACAAGAACTAGTGCATCTGCAGTAAAATTGAACTTATTCCTTTTCTTTTTTCTTGCTTTAGACATAATCTTAAAAATAACTTATGTTTTCTTTAACCTCAACCCTCCTCCAAACTGCACATTGTGCTGGGTTTTAGAGGGCTCAGATTTTCTTTTCTTAAAAACTCATGTCCACTCTTGCATATTAAATATCTTTTTAAAAATTTAAATCTTGGGCCGGGGGTTTACTCAGGAGCATAAGCACTTGCCTGGCAAGTGTGAGGTCGTGAGTTCCATCCCTGGTACAGCGCTAAAAATAAAATAAAATAAAATAAAAATAAATCTTTTTCTAAAGCTGGGCTTTCTGATTTTGTATTTTGTCTGCTTTTTTTTATGATAAAAATATTGTTTCTTAACTAGTAACCTCAAGGAATGTAAACATATGCCATAAACGTGTGCTTGGACTAATAATATCAACAAGAATGAAAATGGAGAAAAGGAAATTAAAGGAGGAAAAGCAAAGAGAATTAAAAGAAGAAAAGTTGTATTATGTATATGTACCTACTCCCCAAAATGAGTTTAAATTGCATGTACTGCAAACATGTACTAGTAAAAAGAAGATATTGGTTCATAATATCAATATAATTGCTTATTTGCTTTCTTGATGTTCGTATATTCACTGTAAAAAATTTTAAACCACAATAGCAATGTTAAGTTATGACTGATGAATAATTTTTTTAATGTGCTGCTTTTTTTCTTTACCTGTATTCCCCTAGGGATGTATACTCATAATACTATGTTTTAAATAAATTTGATATAACTCTTATTGGTTACATGTGTATGTACTATAGCTTATTCATCCAGGCCTGTATTTATGGATATGTTGGCTACTTCTAGTCTTTTACTATTTCAAAAGATCCTTGAGCATGTATAATATCCTTTTATCAGTGCATCTTTAGCGTAAATTTCTACAAATGAGATTGCTGGATCAAAGGATAAAAGAACGTGTTGCTTTGTTTGACAGTGCTAAGTTCTCTTTCATAAGAGTTGCACAGTTTTTATACTCACCGTAGCAATGTGTGAGGGTTCTTGTTTCCCTACAATCTTTCCAATTATGCAGATGGTCAAACTCCTACTAAATTCTTGCTAATTTGATCAATGGAAAATGATATTTCAATATAGGTTAACATTTGTCTTTATGATCGAGGTGTAGCATTTTTCAAATTGTGTGAGCATACAATAAAGTATTATGAAGCTGATAAGAAATCTAGAAGATATGCGGCTGTGAAGTAAGGTGGAAAAACCAGAGTACAAAAGATTGTGCAGTGTGTAACCTTCTGTATAAGGAGAATTAGAAATACTTGTATGTACTTGCTTATGTTTTCAAAACTAAATAGTGGAAAGAGAAACCAAACTCCAATAAAAATGGTCACCAGAAAGGACAGAGTAAAAACAGGGGAGGGAGAAAACAAGTGTGGATGTCTTAGAATAAGTCTTGTCTTACAATTTGAACTTAGAACCCTGTAAACCTTCAACATGCTTTAGATACAAAATAAAACCTAAAAGCCACTCCTTAACTGGAAAGGCTAAAATACATGAACCAGCCTTTTCATTTGTTTAAGGACTATTTGCATTAAAAAAAATTTAGGGTAGCTTCCTTTTTAAAAAATTGGAAACATTTTATCAGTCCTCTGTGATGTGTTTCCATACATTTTGCACTGTTTGCTTTGCTTTTTTCTCTCTGTTTAAAGTAGGATTAACAATCTGTGTCCTTAATATTTCTAGATTCTGATCATAGGAAGGAATGTTTTTTTTCTATTCCCAACTTACAAAGGAGTTCACCCTGTGAATGCTTGTACTGGTTTTTCTGTACTAACTATTTTGTAGTACTGCTTCATGTTTTATATTACGTCTTCCATCTCTTTGGAATTTATTCAGTATAGAAAGTAAAAAGTGAATGCAATTCTTATCTTTTTCCCGTGTGGCTATCTAGTCCTAGACATTTAATCTCGCTTCAGTGAACAACGTCTACCGCTACAGCCAGCCAAACACTTACTGAAACCCTGCACAGAATTTCTTGAATCAAAAAGCAAGTCATCTTTAGGTAGTTTTAGGCTTTGTTTTTAGTGTCAATAGGTGGAACACATTATTTTCGTTAGATGTTATCTTACCTCATGTTCTTTGTGACTTAGTGAAAGAAGCACCTGCCAAAGGGTTTCCCTGAACGTTTTTTTTGTTTTTTTTTTTTGTTTTGTTTTTTTTGCTTCCCTCCCTACTTGAAATCAGATGATTTTTTTTCAGCTTTCAAACTAGGTCCAAAACTTTCCTTTACAAATCCTGTTATGGCTTGTATCTAGATGTCTACCCAAAGCCTCATGTGCTCACAGGTGCAGGTTTTTGGAGGTAGCTGCATTTAGAGTATGTAAATATGGGTTCAGGGCTGTGATAACTAAATTAGTTCAGCAATTAGATTAGTTTAGTTCTAGATGTGAATTGTACCATCCAATAGGTTTGTATGTTGGATGGGATAAAAGAGAAAGGAAGGTGTTGCCGCTTGCTGCTTCCTGCCTGTCACGTCATGAACTGTTTCTCCTCTGTGATGGTCCTCTGCCAAGCTACCCTACCATGGAGCGGCCAACTCTGGACTGCAACCTCTAGAAACTGTGCACTAAAATAAACTTTTCCTTCTTTAACTTGTGAGTGTCAGGTATTTGACACTCTAGAATGAGAAAGTAACTAACATAAAGCCAAAATAATTGTTGCTAGAATCACTGTCTCTGGGGGCTGGTGCATTCTAGACATGTGACTCCATATGTTAATCAAACAAGCATTTGGGGAAATGGGTGGACTTGAAAACAATACCAGAGAGTGATTTTCTCAGCAGTGGACACTGTAATGCTCTACCCCCGCACCCCGGTTGGAGGAGCTCACAGTGCCCATTCACAGCAGAGTTGGCTGACGATGGCTCAGAGCCCAGTCCCCCAGAACTCAGAGCTCTCTGTGCAGAGGAGCTGCCTCAGCCCAGATAATACCTTTCCAGGAAGAGTCTATATTATTTTGGCAGTGAATTTGTGGGGAAACGCCCACACGTGTCTCTCTTCCCTCAACTCAAGACAACAGAA